GGCTCTAAGCATTATTAGAACCCAGCAATAATACTTTGATTCCGAAAAAATTTTAAAGACTATGAAGCCACAATTGGCTGCGCTTTACCAAATGACGTTCTAGCACTTCGTCAGTTAGATCGTTTTAGGTCAGTTAAATAAAGCCATTCAGAAATTTATTACATTGTCGATTTTGATCGAAAATTTTTCCGAATCAAAAGTAAATAGCCGCATGCGTTTTTTTTCTATATAAAAGTGCATTCCTCTGCTTTCTAATGACGGCAGGTATAACGATAATGTCTCTAGAAAAGCATTTTTAAACGGTTATGTGTGGAAGTATGCGTGTTTTGTGTAGGCTAAACAACTTCAAACTTCGGCGATGATGAGTGAGAAGGAATCGCTTTTTTAGATGAATTACATTTTTGGGATTTTGGGTAGTAACTTTCAACACGTCTCAAGCCGTTCTAGCTAAAAAGTCCATAAACCTTGCGCAAAACAGGTTAAATATCCAAACAAAATTATGTCGGCCGTGATTTCCATAGACAGGAGCTTTACATTCTCCACAGGATTATGGAAAAACGACAATGCAGTGAGGTAATTCAGACGCAAATGCTGTTCCAGATACGAGAATGGTTCTGGAATAAGAATTATATTCGCGCACGAAAAGTCACTATGTCATATGGTAGGGTATCTCTAAGGTGTTTGCCGCTAATGATGTTGAGGATCTAGCATGGCCTGGAAATTCATCCGATCTGAATCCTATGCGGCTATCTCTCTCTTTTCTGAACATTGTGTAACTCAAGAATTCGGCGCATGCATGAAGTTGTACACGGTACCCGGTATATAATGTTCACTACGACACTTTGAATAGTGTAAAGACGTTTTACGTCTGTAAAACCTATTCTCGATGCTGTTCGTGCAACGTACGCATCTCGTTGTCTCAATAAAAGTAAGAATCACATAGCACAGAAGAGATGGCTTTTGTCGCAGATCCACGTATCTGGCGGCACACTAAAGCTACAACAATCGTTCATAAAAAATCCCAATATAATAAGAAAAATTACTATTTAATTTATGTTAATAAATAAGTGTTAATATAGGGTGGAATCTATTATGTGATTTTATTACAAAATCCTAAAACTATTTGCTGTCGGTACAGGGTCTTCACTAAAGGTCTCATTTTACAATACATCTAAAAATTAAGACAATATTCACAAATAAGCATATAACTCATACTTAATATAAAATGCACTGATTTATCTTCAGTTAATTTTTCGACTGTGTCGTATTGATTAATAATAAAATATTACTATTTTCTATGAAAGATAGGTTAGTTTATAACCGCTGCGTACATTGAAATTAGCGTCAAGCCACATAGAAAAAGCATGATGTAATGTCGTCTTGTTTTTTGTTCTATCAAAAAGCAATGAATAACTTGTACTTTTTTCTGTACTAAGTTTACTAAGTTTAAAACTGCGGCGCTTTACCGCCTCCATTTCATGTAAAACAAGCAAAGAGTGATCTTAAATGTGTCAAAAGAAAACGAAATTGTTACTAAAATTCAGGCGCTTATGCCTTGTTTTACGTCCTTTAAAATGGCTGTCCAATGATAGAGCCTATCTGTCTTTAACATTTTTCCAGCTGTGTAAGTATTTTTTCAGTATTTCTGTAACTTTAGACCATTCTTAGAACGCACTCCTGCTCACTTACAAGTTGCCACTAAAAATAGAAATGAATCAGGATTACTTCCTATAGACAGTCAAGTTTGAGTACGTCCGTCCTAACAGACAATTAACAGTAACACGCAACGAATTGTCCTTTTACTTGACTCATTACCATATATCTATCATTTTTGAAAGGACAAGGAAATTTTTTTTTAATACATATATTCTTCTTTTTTGTTGTTAACGCATCTCAAATAACATGAGGCCGAAAAAATCGACAGAACTAATTATACACAAGTTCACTGCGATTCTGTTATGTCTCTTCAAGTAAGAACAGTTCAAACAAAGTAACACTAGCAAACAATAGCTATTTCAAGGAAGGTATAGGGAACTTCTCCCTGGGAGCACAAATAAGACTTCCAAAGCCTTATTAAATAAGTTCTTTCAAGTTTATTTGTCATTCGCGTGCATAAGAGTTACCTTAAATTCGACTTACGTGCTTACAGATCGCAGTTGTATAATGCAAACGAGCACCTTTCAAGTGTGTTGCAAATAGTGTTGGGCTTTTATTGTGGCCGGAAAACTCATCTGATTTGAAGTTGATCGAAAACATTATGTCAAAGGGCAAGTCAGGACCGAACAAGAAACTACGAACGTCTCACAACTCAAAAATACACGGGATCAAATGTAGGCTCGGGTCCCAGACATGATGGAGACGGTGCGAAGGTGCGTTCGGAACACACTGAACAAAGTTGTAGCACTGAATGCAGCAAGAAGTGAAGGGAACAAGTGAGTGCCTTTCCTTCCATAGCAACTTAAAAATGTCTTTCTGGCGACTGTGCTACTATTACAAATTAGAAGGAGGCAGCTTTCACATAAGCCTTTAGCGTTCATTGCATGCAGATAGCTCACGTAAGGAGCGAGTTATCTTTGATTAAACCTGATAACATATGAAATTTCTATGTGGCCTTTTTTGATTGGTCAATGACACTTACACAAATTAACATGCATTTTTATATTATTTGAAACAATTTCAAATGCGCAAAATTAATTTACATAGAGAAAAATTAACTACACTAAATATATTGCAAAATTAAGCTATGAAATTACTTGAATCTATAATTAGTTTTTTTTTTTATTTTCAAGTAATGTCAGTTTAATTTTTGTCAATAATGTCAAATAATATTAAAGTGCGTATATATAAACGTGCTTCTAATTATAGTATTGCGCCAAAAAATAGTGTGTACCGTTATAAAATTATTACTATTATTATTATTACATAATGAGATATCAATCTTAGATGTTAAAAATACTGTTGATTTAAATTTAGCAGTGTTTTTGTAAAATACGTTATCCTCCGACTGCTTAAAAAATCATTTTGCCTGAATAATAACTCGTTGTATTATATATCTAGCTTACTTGCCTCCATATGTTTTTGATATGAGGCTATCGTACGGTCGAATATAATTGAATTTGAAGAAAATTTGTATTTATTTAGCTTTTCTTTATATAAAACAGTGTAGTTATAATTCAAACGGACAAATATCCTGCAAACTAAGTACTATAACAATTATGGTCCAGATCCGCTATAATTCAGCTCTGACCTAACCTAACAGAGATACGTTGAACCGACTTTTTGAAATGATTCGGGATTAAATGTATATTTATTTAACTGTAATTCAACACTTTTGCAGTTTTCCCTGGAAATGTTTGTTATTTGTTCAATGAAGTAATAATAATATTTTAAAAGATTCCGAATAAATAAGCAAAATTTTTAATTTTTATCGATTAATTAATAGTCGAGTAAACTTTACGTTAAATTGCTTTCTAAAAAGTCTTTATAAAAAGTTTTTTGGAAGAATACTATACCAGCATTAACGCCAGTGCTCCGTATCAGTTTATTTTTCCCCAAGCTTCTACTACGCTCTTTGTCGTTGTTTATATCATATTATGATATGAATAAAGCGCAAATAGTCTTTCTTTCATTCTTGTTGCAAACAATTTGTGTAGATCGAAGGGTTCAGGTTTAAGGTCCCATGGATTTTTAACCACTAACGTAAAGTATAGAGGTTTTTATATTTGAACTCCTAAACAAACGCCTTCTTTGATTCCTTTTTATGCATGCAGTTCAGGGCACTATGTATACTCTTTGCAGTGAACATCACTATGTGCTTACATGTACCAACAAAACTTCGAAAAACCAATCACATAATGCTTTACTTCGCCTAGCAGAGTCTAGTGTAGTACCCATGATAACTTTATGGGTAACGATTTTGCTTGCTAAATTTACGGACCCGGCTACAAATACACTTCGTTTCGTGCTGGAAGTCAGCCATCTGATAGAATGCGCAGCGGCGAGACCTGACGTAGAATTCGAAACATAGACAGGATAGTCTAGTGTATTGTATATAATAATAGCTGAGCATAATGGTAACGTCTGCATTAGAGTACAGTCTAACTTGATAAAATAATGATACAAAAATTAAGTGAAGTAAAATATGAACACGATTGGATTTATCAATAAGATTTTTTACTCTTCACGACAAGAGATATTCATTCAACGATATGGAACGATTTTACTAAAGCGTGCACCGTTTGACAACAGACATTTTACGTGGTTATGGAACAAGCGGCTTTCTGTATTCACTAAGAGCAAGCTATGTAGTATTTAAAGCTAAGTCCCAAGCATCGTCTTCAAAAAGTATTCAAAATTGCAGCAATTTTTACTCGACTCTATCTTTTAGAGCTTCAAAACAGAATATTGGGCGAGCAGAAAGCCAGCCTTCCGTTCAAGTCATATCTGCCTGTGCAAAAGGCGCTCAGGCCGGATCTGATTATCTTATTTTGTGTTACGTTTCTGGTTGCAGGAGAAGAGGCAGAGCTTCTTCCGAGGTCATGGCTTGGTAGACCATAAAGAAAACAACTTATGAGATAGCCAGTTTGGCCCCTTCTCCACCTGGGGGTGGACTTTATCTACCCACTAATTGCCATTGCACATACAGTTTCTTCCCTTTTCATACGTACTCCATTCAAACATTCCCAATTCCCCTTTTTTGATCATTGTTATAGAGCGACTTATGTCTATTTTCGTTATTCATATGATGAGTTTTCATACGGGGGCAATCTTGTATATTTAAAGCTTTTTAGTAGTGAATTCGATAAAAATGTGTCGCACAAAAGATAAACTATCCATTTTCACCGGTGAACTGTATAAGATTAACATTCATTTAAAAATATGTTTATCTTATTTAGTAAGTCACACCAATTACGTTAAGTTTCTTGCTGCCAGAGGAACCTAATTGTTATCGAAATATACCACAATGTCCTATAGTCTAGTTACTAACACGTTGACGAAACACCAAGAACGTATTTGATGCCAAAAATAGCCTGTTAAATTGAGTTATGGATCCTCCGGAATGCTCATAGTGAGCAGGCCTCATAAGTCCTCGTTAGTTTGCAAATACGCTTCACTAAAATAAGTTAATGGGAAATCCTTTATTGAGCTTCGCGAAGATCTCTTCCATGATACGCACTAGATAGAGATGTTGCATCAGAGCCTTGTTAAGTTCGGTCTAGCAATTTTTATACGACCAAAGGGGCTTCGGGTGGTTTGCAAGTGAGCGAACCTCCTGTCTACGCGAGTCTCTCCATTTGGGCGGCCAGAGCAGGGGGTCGCTGAAAGCTACGAGTCATAACAATAATAACTTTTATTCACGCAAATTGTGTTGTATCGCACTTTCGCAGTACCATGCTCTTCGAAAGACTGAATGGGCACCATCTTTAATTTGTGTACTGATTTTCGTACAGCGACTCAAATGGGACACGGAAATCAACGAGTATTTTTCCATCTAAATTTAACTTCAACTAGATAACGCTAAGTAACAGCATGCGGGTTCTATTCCTTCTCTAGCCTAAAATAATTAGTCCTGTAATTTTTAGCGGTAAGCGGCCGGTTTCCTCTATTTTCTCTAATAGATTAACACGCTCATATCAGCTAAATCTGCTCAGCAGGAACCAACTTCGTAACCTAAACAGAAACAGTGTTTGTACTGCAAACTCTAAGCTAATTATATTATATAGGTTATAAATACCTCAGAACTACCCTGTTCAGATGTTTTACGAAGATATCTGCCATTTTCAAGGTAACAATCTGTAAAATAGTTAGGTTAAAAAAGGCATTTGGAAAACGCATTCTTTTAACACCTTTGCGAAAACCTCAACCGGACATTTTTTTTTATTTTCTATAGATAAGAAATCAATAATATATATGGAACATAGAAAAAAAGTCAGCAAACTAAAAAATTAATCCGATACCTACCCGACAAGATATATTTTACACAAGTTATCAAACGGAGAGTCCCTTGAAGATGGCGCTTTTTTAATTAACTCATGCACTAAACCTGCTGTATGACAACTGATTAATGCCTGATCAGTGAATTTAACCTAATACTTCTAAAATATTTGTAATTTTCGTAATGGTAACATCTCCACAATAAACAAATGGAAATGCTGTTTCGAAATGTTTTCCGATCCTTACATCGTCTTCGTCAGTCGAATAGATCTATTTTAGTTTTGACTCAATTGGTTTCATGATATGTGAAAGTTTCAAAGAATATGTCTGCCGCTACTGGATTTGGTATAGCAATAATAATTACCGTTTTCATTGCACTATTCTGAACTGAACGCCCTGTGTGTCTGATTGACTGTTATTTCGAGTAATAGCCAGTTCCATAAACTAATCTTCTGTAGTTACTAGTTGATGATAGCTCTGTGGGTTAATACCACTTTCAGTATTGACGTGATGCAAAACACGCGAAACTACAACTTTCGACTTAACAATGATGCCCGAGATCTCGTAGCCCAGCTGGTGCTGGTCAAAGAACGAGGCAGTTAGAATGATGTTGAAGTATTTGACGACTTAAATGTTATATTTATCTGGTATCTGGTAGGGTACACTGCAACAATTCATTCACTTACTTTTTTACAAAACGGGAAAGGTGCAAAGAAACAAACAGCAATACGAATGGAGCGACCAGACCCCATACGGGCAAACTCTCTGATTTCAATTTTTGATTTCGCATCTTCCATTCCATTATTCTCGAACTTCCATGTCTTTAGTGAATCATGCCAGCACGCAACTCAATAATTTTACCCAAACTGTTGTTCTCTAACCATTTGTCGACTTGGTCCTCCTATCTCATGGCCATCCTTCGTTCATAAACATGCATATCAGCCTGCACCAATCACACAACACATGCAACATTGTTCTAATAACAGCCGACGTTTTTTTTACAGGGAAAAGGAGCCCTTTCTGAAACGACTAATACAAAGCTATTTCCAGCAAATTACGCCCGGTATATTGCCGTAACTATAGCTCGTAGATGTCGAATCGTCTCACGAATGCCTCACCAGTTCGCTTTAGTCATATACAAAACAAACAAATATTAGGAAAGAAGTAATGCGGTACAATACGAGGCCAAAGCGTTAACATTCATTTGTCCTAAATACACTTCTAGGTTCCACAGACCATCTTGCTACAGGCTCGTCATAAGGCCGTCTAAACGTGCAGCTAAAAGAGCAGCTCCTCAAGTAAGCCCAGAAACTACTTAACCTTTAGCCAATCGACGACAACGCACTCTTGACCCCACCGGCTGAAACACATGCAAGACTATCTTAATAACATACCAGCTGCTCAATAAAATGTCCCAAAAGAGATCTCGGTGTGTGAAATGTATGTACGATTAGAAAAGAACAGCTAATGAATGTAGGCTTAAGCGGAACTCCACGGTGACGGAGATAGTCAAAGCCATGTAAGCACTGCCAAGCAACAAATAGGCTCAGATAATCTGCGCAACAAACATTTCTGGGGCGCCTTAATGCTAGCTTCGACTTAGATACTTTTGTTCAATGCCTGCTTATGCACTCAATAGTCATTAAGGAGATGGATACGTATTCGTACGTTTCAGAAGTTAGACTAGGTATAGAAAACGGAGAACGATCGGGCCTATGGGAGCTCAGACGCAGAAACAAGAGAGCAAACTCCTAGACATTTCAAATATATCGAAAAGCACTGGAGTGCATCGAAAGATCCTCGTAGCCAGGCTATTCTAATCCAGAGCGCTTAACTGTTTGAAGCGCACGTAAAGAAAAGAGATCGAAAAGTTGTACCCTTTATCGAAGAGCTATAAGGACTCTCGCTGAAAACTGCGCTTCCTTTTATACGAGTGAAAGTTGCACCCACAGATTTTTACGGAATTTAGCTATACTAGAATGAGCCGCCGCTTACGTGCTTTACACCTCCGGTTAGAATTAAACCTGCTTTCCTAAACAAAAACTTACGGGACCGCATCTGTCCACAAAGAATATAATCACTCTTAGATACACTGCTCTGTGACAAAGAAGTCCGTTCGCTGCCGAAACATTTACGTACCTCAAGTTTGTTAAAGACTGCAAATGTCACAACATGTCCGACCTTATTTTTGAATTTTAGAACACCAGGGCAATGAACAATTTAAAGCAAAGTGTTTAGAACAACATGTCAAGCATTCACCTTTGTGGGATTCATAGGTTCCATAACCTCTACCGTAAGATTAATGATTACCACGATTCTAGAGAGAAATGTGCTTCTAAATAGTGTAACCTGCTGTGGTCGTGAAACTTTTCCAAATGCTGAGGTGCTACGATATGGTCGGCAAAATTAGCTACAATGTAAAGCTCTGAAAAGTCATAAAGGAGACACAATATGCAAAGTAATTTCAATATTCCGTTTGTACTTTGGATATGTCTGACGATTCTAGCCAACCGGTATTAAAATGAACCTTCACATTGGATCAATCTGGCAATCGCACAGTTTTTATTTCTCCTTGAGGTAAAACCTTGAGAAAGGGCCACTTCTGGAAAAACCAACCACGGAAGTTGTTTTTCTTTTTGGCGCCTGTCCCGCGCCCCGGTTTGCGACAGATAAAGCAAGTGTCTGAGACAAAAACAGCCACGCTGTTTCGAGAGCGCAGTTCAAAGTTTGAAACCATAGTTCTACCACGTACCCCCTGAGAAGATTTGCGTTGTCCATAAGGCCGGCATTTCCATCATTTAGCTTATTAGGAATAGTATTTGCAGGCAGCGCATTAGTGTGGAACTTTTGTAACTCACTTCTGAATGATACCACGAGTTCTACTCTGGTACAATCTTTTAGAATCATACCCGCATGAGATACAAAGAAAAATCTGAACACTACCTAATTTGGAATCAGTATTTTTGCATTGGCGGGAAATCTCCAACCACATACCGGTAAACGCGGACCGAAATCCGCTAGTAAAGCATAATTTATGCTATAAGGAGACATGAATGCATTAGGCAGTTACTCATATTTTATTGTAATAAAATACGACGATTGAAACTAATTATATGATCTGCTCTGTTTCTTTTTTGATAACTACGATCTTGAAACTTCCTGAATCGTGTGATATGGGGATGGCTCGAAGTGCAATAATGAAGACAAAGAAACGAATGCCTATTGAATTAGGGAACAGTTTGAGCGTGTCCTAGATAGTTCTAGATTCTGGGTTCAGTGCAGTTTGTGTGCTTGCATCCCTTCCTATTAGCACAGTCCTCAAGGGGGTCTTAAATACAAAAAGTGGAATTTATGGTATGGTAGTTATCAAGTCGTCGGCAATGAAGCATTATCCATTACCTTTGGTTCGAAGCATTCTAGTATTTCTTGCAATAATACCCACATTCACATTTTTTGGCCAATTTAAAAATGAGTTTAAGTATTCCATCACAACAGAAAATCTCAACCCTCACCTGCACTAAATTCATAGAATATTCGAAAACGCATGCAAAGAAAAGTTCCGTAAAAGGAAAAGACATGTCCAGCCTTTTTATTTCTATTTTGCAAAAATTATATA